AATTAGGAAATACTGGAATTTCAAAATTTGGAAATTTGCGAAATTTAGAAAGATGGAAATTTGAAAATTAAAAATTGAAAATTTAGGGTGTTTGCAATTTGAATATTTGGAAATTTGGGGAGTGATTAATTTGAATATTTGGAAATTTAGGGAGTGACTAATTTGAAAATTAAGAAACTCAGAGAATGAGAAACTTGGACATTTAGGGAGTTAATAATTTGAAAGTTTGGAAATTTAGCAAGTGTGTAATTTGGAAATAATGAAATTTATGGAGTGAGTAATTTGAAAATTTAAGGTGTCAGTAATTTATCAATTTTGAAAGTTAGGAATTAATAAATTCAGAGATTTAGGTATTAATAAATTCAGGAATTTAGATACTTATAAATTTGGAAATTTAGCAGGACGGAAATTTGGAAATTTGGGGACTTATAAATTTAGAAATTTAGGGAGTTCAGAATTTGGAAATTTGAAAAGTCAGAGATTGAGAAATTTAGCAAGATAAAAATTTAGGAAGATCCATTATTCCTTTAGGCAGATGAAAATTCAGAAATTTAAAAAGTTAGTCATTTGGAAAAAGGAATCAATAACTTAGAAATGTGACAACTTAGGATGTTAGTCGCTTTGAAAATTCCAATTCTGAAAATTTAGATATTTAAATAGTTGTAAATTTTAAAACATAGAAACTTAAAAACTCAAAAATTCAGAAATGTAAAAATTTACAAAGAAACTTGAAATTCTCAGATACTTTAAACTGCGAAATTTTCAATCCTCTAAATTGCGAAGTTAAAGCCATCAGCCATAAATGAATATCACTTCTCCATGACTACTGTAATAATCCAAGAATATTCTCTAACGATTGCAGTTGGTCGTGAAACAATTGCACTACTTCACGATAACCAATCTTAACAATATATTATAATTAATTTAATATGATAATGAACGATGCGAAAGCGATGAGTTCGCCTCAATTATGATGCAGGTAAAGGGTATTTTCTCCACTATTGTCATTTTTATATACAAACTAATTGTTTTATTTATTCCGTGAAAAGAATACGAATAAATATTTCGTCCGTCAAAATGTTTCTTTAACAATCGTCACCTAATATAACGAGACTACTTCCTTACGATCAGACTTTTCGGCAAAGTTTCAGATTTGCGTACGTTTAATTATAAAATATTGTTAAGTACACCGTTAAACTATACATCCTTTTCCGGCGTAGTGTCTGGGAGACAGCTTAGCGTCCCTTTGATTATCGAAAGCAGAAACGACCGAATCATTCGTCATCCGTTCATAAACAAAAATTTCACGGTATACAAAAAAAGCCTGTTCCGGTTGCGAATGGGGGTTATGTAACTCACAGAATACGTAAACTTATTTTTAATCGAATCTTTACGAAAGAAAATAAAATATTTGTACAAATTATATTGGGTCGCCGTGTTGCGCTGCGTGTTTTACTCGAAGGATCATTTTTTTCCAAGAAAAAATTCGTTTTCTACAACTGACCGCACGCGTTTTGGTTCGATGAGCCAACCTCGACTATAACAGCAAATTAGAGCCGTGAAAAAAGACTATAAAAAGCAACGTGGACTCTGACAGAATTACTTCTTGTCGTTACAATTTCTTTTATCAACGATTCTTAGGCCTGTACGTATTTATAATCGATTATTTTCACTGGATATTTCGTATTATTGTCGTTTCGAAGCTCCTCGGTGACTAACATTGCTTATATAACGGCACTTTAAAACAAAATGACAATAAATATTCGTACAATCGAGGCTTAGTTCAGATCTACATACAAACGTAACATTTGCCCAAAAAACACGCTGTTTATTTATAGTATAGTAAAAACGTACTATTACGTTTTCCATTGTCAGTGGAAAACAAAAATTCGGGCACTTTTAGACGAATATTTACAAACAATTTTTATACAATTGCGGTGCTTTGTGGGTGAAAGTATGTAGGTTTGAAGTAGGCTAATTTTTCATCTTTTTATGTAGGTATAGGCCTGAGAATCATTCCGTTGCAGTAGATATAGCTAGCTACCTATGAACATTTCTGTATACATACGTATACACATTAATATACATAACATTTAAGCGACAATATACGCATCACAATATATCTCGTTCGGCATGTTACACGGGAACACGTATGTACAGTGGTGTATAATTTTTGAACTTCTTTTAGTTAAATTAAATTAAGTACCATATGTGTTAACTGACTGATTATGAAAATTTTTAATGAAACCTTTTATTTAAGAAATTATTATTTCTATTTAGAAGTTATGAATTTAATAATTTGATAATTACTGTATTTATAAGTTTGAAAATTTATGTTTTTTTTTATTTATAAGTTTAATCTAAAACCACTCTCATTTTTTTACAAATTCACATTTCTATATTTGCAAATTTCAAAACTTCTTAATTTCTAAATTTTTAAATTTGAAAGGTTGTAATTCAATTTGAAAGTTTTTAATTTCTCAGCTTGAAAAATTGTGCACCTTTGAACTTAGAAATTTCTAAACTTGAAAGGGAATTTGCAAATTTAAAAATTTGTATCTCTGTAAAGTTCTGAATTTAAAAGTTAGTAAGTCTAAAAATTTAAAAATTTATTAACCTAAGAAAAATATGAAAACCATTCTTCAAATTTCTAGGGGACCAAAATTCTAAATTTACAAATTTCTAAATTACATTGTTTGAAAGGCTAAAATTCGCAAATTTACAAATTTATAATATTTCCAATTTCTAAATTTCAAAGATTGTGTATCTTTAAATCTAGAAATTTCTAAACTTGAAAATTTTTAACTTTAGAAAATTCTGAAATTAAAAGTTAATGAGTTTGAAAATATAAAAATTTACTAATTCAAAATAATCACAAAACTATTCTTCCCATTTCTGAAAGCTCAAATTTTTAAACTTAAAAATTCCCAAATTTCTAAATTTAAAATTGTGCATCTGCCAACCTAGAAATTTCTAAACTTGAATATTTGAAATTTTTAAAAATATCTAACTGATAATTTCTAAATTTGGAAAATTGCTAAATTTCTAAAGCTGCAAAGTTGCAAATTTTCTAATTTCAAATTCAGAAGTCCTTTACTTTATAAACCTCTAAATTAAAAATTTGTAATCCTCATGAATTAAGAAATTTCCACATTCTTAAATTCTTAAATATGAAACCTAACAGCTTTCAAATTTCTAAATTTAAAACTCAGCAGGTTTGCAAATTTGCAAATGAAACATGAAAATGTACATATTGGAAAACTTGAAAATCTATCAATCAGAATACCTATTACTGATGAATTATTGATTCTTTTTCCTTACACATGCATTTTCCTTAAAGAAGCCCACCAATCCCACCACTGTGTACCCGTTTTCTACACCGACAAAAGCCATCGTACAAAAAAGTACCCGACGGCTCGAAAAATGAAACTACTCGATCAGTCGATTGTGTTTTATACATGCTTGCGTTGTGTATGCGTATGAATGAATACGTATGACTGGTGGTACAATGTTGCATCGTATGCACGTACAATAATCATCGCTGTCGAAAACTCTCGAATACAATCTTTCGTTATTTTTCCCCTCGCAGTCATTTTCGTGAATCCAAAACCCCGCATACAACGTGCTCTGTATCATATTCTCGCCCGGAGACGAACATTTCAACGAAGACTTTCGCGATAAAATTTGTAAAACTCCACTCGCTTACGCTACTTTCTGAGACTGTACAAAATTAACCGATTAAACTAGCATTATTTTCTTTCTTTATAAATTCAACGTCTTCTAGATTTTAGTCTATGGATCAAGCATACGTTTGCTCTTTGCGTACAATATACACAACAGTTTCAACAGATTCATTGCTTTTTTTATCATTTTCGTCGGTGCTTTCTATAAACGCGTTCCCGAAGAAAGGAAGGAAATAACAGACCTGGGTTTGAACTTTTATCACAGTACCATATAACTGTAGTACGAAGCTCTCAGGCATTTGGTACGAAACGTAGCTGATACGCAGATTGTTCACATTTTCTCGCATATTTGACACGCATACACGGACACATTCGTTTAACACACACACGCATTGCACCACGAAGGAAGCTGGGGAAGGCACAGTGTATGTACATATACGTATGTACAGCACCGAACGACGATCAGGGACAACTACAGTACTCGTGGTACACGATATTTGAACATCGACATTACATGATTATACAACTGATTGGCGACTTACAACAGAGAAAATCGGGAGAAGATTCGTTGGCTCGTCGCGTTTCTGACTAGTTAGGAACCTGCGATGAGATTCGTTTCGATTACTAGACGAGTTCACCGAGGTATCTCAAATCTAGTGAATTTTAATCGCTAGCCGAGCCGACAAATCTTCCTCCAACGTGAACGAAGGTATTACTACGAAATATCGTTTCTTTCTCATTTTTGAAGGTAACGCAAAATGCTAAGTACTTCGATTCTGTTGGCAGTGTTCTCGTTTCTTGATTAACTTTCGTTAAACTGATTTAATGTCCATGCGACGAGCTTGCGAATGCTCTTCAAACACCATTGACTAGACCTTACCGGAAGCCCGTGTTTCAGCTTCCTTGTAGTGCAATGATTTATTAATCGTAAACGAGGACATGGCCAGACAGTACGGATGTTAAGCTTAGGAAGAAAAGGAGACAATGTTACTCTTGCACTTTCTGTGATTTTAATGTAAATGTTATTCGTTCTTAACGCGAGACATGTAAACGGCGTCAAGCTCAGAAAACGTTAAATACCACTGACTAGACCTGGCGGAAGTGACCGCCTCACTTTTATATTTTTTTTGTGAAATCTCATTTAACGTTATCAAGAAAGTACAATAGTATTATTGACCAATCAAGAATATTGTGATACTATCAGGGCTGGATTAAGACCTTTGCTAACTGGGAAATTTAATTTTGGAGCTTTGAATCTCTGGGTCTTCAGATTCTTTTAACTTTGGGTAGCTAGGATTTTTTGACTCCTGGAATTAATTAAATTTTGGAATTTTGGAAGTTTAAGACTTCACAATTTTTTGAACTTTGGGACTTTTTGAATCTAATACATTGGAACTGTGGAATTTTTTACTGCAATATTTTTAAACTTCGAAACTTGAGATACTTTAGAATTTATGGACTTTCCAAACGTGATATTTTAGGATGTTAAAGTAGTGACTTCCTAGCTTCAAATATTTGGAAATTAAGCAATTCAGTTCTTCCTAACTTTCCCGCTGTTAAGTCCTTAGAAAATATCCACTCATGAGTATAAAATGGCGCCTCCTTCAAAGCATGTGTTGTTACATACTTAATCCAGCCCTGTGTACAATACAGTCGAGTGTTTTTGAAGTGATGAAGATCGAGTACCACGTAGAACTGCATATCCTCCGTTCGTAGGCACAAGAAACGCTCTTGTCGAATGATTCTTATTCTTTTAATTGGATGTTGTTCGTTTCAGTGAATAAAACGACGCTGTTCCTGGATGTATGGCGGCGTACTTTGGTAAGACTGCTGGCGGCGATCCACGTCGTTTGTTGAGTATCCGTTGGCAGCCTTTGGGACGGAGCTTCGTCGTTGCTGCGTCAGTTTCACAGATCGGTCCTCTTGGAGGACGACGAGGAGGAAGAAGAGGCGCAAACGGACGAGACTGAATACCATCACGATGAGTTGTAGGGATCACCTGCACGGTGCTAGGAGTACTTCGAGCCAACATGGACAAGAGGTCACTTCCTGTCTTGAGTACTTGGGTCCCCAGCCTTTGGCAAAGCTGATTCGGACGGAGTTGATATCGACGGGACCGGACGCGAATCCTGATGCCTGATTGCTTGTTCTCGTGTTGCCGTTGCCGTATGGAAGCTGCAGAATTTTGGTCCGGTCAAAAATGTTCAGACAAAAGCCGGGAGGCACGCGATAGACGAGTAACGTTCTAGACTCTGGGTCATCCAAAGTAGGCGAGTTCACGAAAATCGGGCTCTCAGATCTGTTATACGCCCAGACGCCGTCTGCTTCTTGGCTGAGCATTAAACCTGTTGACAGACCATTTTACTTTATTAATTCATTTGCTGCGTTATGTATCAAAAGTAGACTATACGTGATTATTAGTAGGCCAAACACTAAGACTACAGATAAAATATATATGTAATAGTAACTACATAGAAACAAGGTTATGTACCAAAAGTAAGTAAATGTACATTGGATTATGAACCAAAAGTAGGTACACTAAGGTTACGGTAAAAACAAGCATGTAACAACAACTAGGCAGAAATAAGACTTTGTAGCAAAAGTAAGTAAACGTAAGTTCGATTATGAACGAACAGTAGGTACACTAAGGTTACAGTAAAAAAAAGTATGTAAAAACAACTAGGTAGAAATAAGATCACTGTAGTAAAGTTGTGTACCACAAGTAAATGTATGTTCAATTATAAACCAAAAGCAATCGCAAATTAAACTACAAACAAAAAGCGAGTGCATGTATCAAAAGTAACAAAAGGCTGATTTATATCAGGTTAGGTTAAAATTATATTGAATTTAGTTATGTAAGAGTGTATGTACCCAAAGAGGGTAAAGGCTGTTTATGTCAGTAAGTTAAAGTAAGTTAAAGTTATGTTGAGTTAGGTTATGTCACGGCTGTGTTAGAGTAGGTCACGGTTAAGTTAAGATAATTTATGTTAAGTTGGATTATGTTAAAATTATATTAGTTTAGACAAGCTGAAGTTACTGTCAAGCTAATTTAAGTTATATTAGGTTAGTTAATGTAGTTAATCTAAATTATATTAGATTCGATTAAAATAAAGTTATGTCAAGTTTGATTAGGTCAAGGTTATGTTTGATTTATGTCAGGTTAGTTATCAGGAAAGTTATGTCAGGTTTGGTTAGATGAAAGTTAGGTAAGTTACGTTAAGTTACATTTAAAGTTATATTAAAGTCAGTGTTATGTTATGCTGATATAACTGAGTTAGATTAAATTAGATAAGTATTTTATTGGATAATTAAGACATTGTCAATTAAGCTTGTTTATAGTTGTCGCTTAAGTTAAATCGTTAATTTTTAAATGTTTCTTCAACATCAGCATTCTGATATAATAACTGAAATTTGTATGAAACCGCACTTGAAAGGAATCTAAGAAATAATTAAAAATCTTACCAAGGCCAATTTTACTTCGAGTCTTTTGGACCGCAGGTGGCGCAACATGATTCTCAGCTAATGTTGCTAAGCAAAGACCATCGCCATCATGGAGAGAATCGAAAACATTCACCGTTGAAGGTTCCACGGGGTACAAACGACCCACTCGACCACCTAGTTCCCAATATGCTAGTGTACACCATTCCTTCTGTCCTGTTTCACCTGGAACAAGACAATTACTGCATATTATATACACATAGTATCATTTAATAATAATTGCTAGAATATTAACATAGTAAGATTATACTGTATTTTATCAGGGTGAAATGATTAAATTGGGAAATATGAACGTTTTGTAATTTCATAACAAACTGATGGGAATGGAAGATTTTAGTACTGTGAGATTTGAGAAATGATAGTGTGTGAAGGTAGGAGATTTGAGGAATTTGGAGATTTTAGAGATGTGAGGAATTTAGAGGTTTGGAAATTTAGAAATTTGGATATTTGGGAATTGGGAAATTTGGGAATTGGGAAATTTGGGAATTGGGAAATTTGGGAATTGGGAAATTTGGGAATTGGGAAATTTGGGAATTGGGAAATTTGGGAATTGGGAAATTTGGGAATTGGGAAATTTGGGAATTGGGAAATTTGGGAATTGGGAAATTTGGGAATTGGGAAATTTGGGAATTGGGAAATTTGGGAATTGGGAAATTTGGGAATTGGGAAATTTGGGAATTGGGAAATTTGGGAATTGGGAAATTTGGGAATTGGAAAATTTGGGAATTGGAAAATTTGAGAATTGGGAAATTTGGGAATTGGGAAATTTGGGAATTCAGAAATTTGGGAATTGAGAAATTTGGGAATTGGGAAATTTGGGAATTGGAAAATTTGATAATTCAGAAATCCAAAGATTAATTTATAAATTTAAAAAAATAATAAACTTAAAAGTTTGCAAACTCAAACTTACAATAAATAAAAAATTTGCAAGATTTCAATATCTTAGCAAAATACTTGGAAGAACCGTGGCCATTTTTTATATAAATGCGTCATAGCAAAGGGGTTAACAAACTGACCGAAACATATTCTCCGGCCGAAAGTTAATTAATTAAAACTGCTCGATAGCGTGGGCATCAAGAGGTTTAATCTGCTGTTTTTACGGAACAACTTCCACGAAATGTGATACAGAGGCATGCCACGAAACAAGATGAGATCTGTTATTAACGAGGAGTCTTTCTCTTTCTTGGTAAAAGTGTTCGTTCGTTCGGTGAGAGGCTGCGGGCGTATATATGTATGTACCTACATACGTATACGTGTATATACTATAATACAAGCGGTATCATAAAGGACTTGTTGCCGGAAAGTCCCACGCGCCTCGACAACCATCCTGGAGACGACGATGGCACCAGATTCGAGAGTAGACAAGACAGCAGACGGAAAAAGGAAAAAGAATCTACGACGTAGAAAGGCAAGAGGTATCCACATTTACAAATAAAAGATATGACTTTCAAATCATTAAAATATTGGCTATGAACGTTCAGACACTGCAAGTACCACTTCGTTGATTAAAAATTCCACCACTGCTAAACTTAATTACGATTGTACGAAACACTGACAAAATTAACTATGTCTTTCAATTTCAAGGATTTACGAGTTTTTTGTTACGTTTTAACAACTCGCAAATTCTTAATTTCCCAAATTTTTAAATTGCTGACTCAAATATTCAAATTACAAAATTATTCAATTTATTTAAAATTGCATAGTTTTAGTTTTTCAGTTATTTCTAATAAAAATTTATTTTATGTATAATAACAATTTCATTACATAAACAATTTTATATAACACTTATTACTACATTGTATATAAATTTTTAAATTTATTATATGTGTAGTAATAGTTTAATACATAATTTTATTGTATGCATAATAATTTGATATATGTTTTGTTGTATGTATAATGATAATTTTAATACATAAATTTATTCTATGTAAAATGTCATGAATTTACTTGTAAAAGTACATTTGTAAACTACAGTATATTTTCACTAACAATTTTAAAGTCATTTCTAGAAAATTATTAAGAAATTAAAAAAGTCTAAGAAATTTAAAAGAAATTTTAAACTTCAAATCTTGGCGCCATTTAAGCGGAACTACAATTTTTGCAGTGCGTACAAATTAAATAAATAGAAATTGCGGAACATAGCAAACTATACATCTAATCGAAGAAAAAAAAGAAAAATTTATCCAATTGCTTCGTTTTAATCATTGATTAATTGCATCGACTGACATTCACGGGGAACATCGAACCATCCAGCGCAGATAAAAGGAAGAGCTAAGAGCATTACAGGTGAACCTGATTGGCCCGGTTTTATCGGACATCCTTAAAAAGAAACATCGAAAATGCTTTTAAAATATGCAAAACACCGGTGAAGACGAGCTCGCGTCCGACCAATAAATCGATCGAAACTTTTTGCTATAATTATCGTGTCGCCGCGACGTTGGCGCCCGAACCTACCCTAACCTGTTTCCACCATCGGAACGTGTTTACGCCATCTTTCAATGGAACCGCGAAGTTATCGCCGACTTCTCAGCAGTAGGTAATACCGTGTTAATTGTTGCCTCATAATTTACAATTCCGAGTCACGTTTCTCAACACTCCACTTTGAAATCATAGATAGTCGAGGAACTTGAAATGCGCATGCAGTACCGTACGGTTATGAGTTAGATAAACGGATTTTTGAATTTAGAAAGCTACGGATTTAAATATTATAGAAATTATACATTTAATTTAGATATTATAGAAATTATACAAGTTGGAAATTTACAAAGTTTCAAAATTAGGTTTGGAAATTGGTAAACGTGCAAATGCTCAAATTTAGAGATTTTGGAGAACTTGTAAATTTACGAAATATTCAAATTATTAATTCTTACATTTAAAAATGTATGAAGATTAAAACTTTAGAAATCTGAAAATATGGTTAAACTTAAAAACACAAAACTATTAAAATTCAGAGATTTTGGTTTATGAAGTGCCGGATTTAAATTAGAACTCGGATTTTAAAATTTGGAGTATCTACTAAGATAGCGAAGATCTGATAGGTACCGGTACTCAACGTGCCTAATGAGCATTATACGCTTATCTTCGTTAATCGTATGTTTATTAATTACATGTATGTATTGATTCAGGTATTAGCAGAAAATTCGTACGTGACAAAACACACGAATAGAGAGACATTGATGTCATATATGGCACACAGATAAATACTTCCTAAATAGAATTTGTAAAGAAATCATAAGTGTACATTCCTTTCTTCAAAATAAATTGTAACATCAAAGGAGGTCAATTTTAGTTAAACTGAAATATTAAATATCCTTCAAATTTTCCGTTTAATTTCAATGGTTTAAAGAAGATCGTTTACATGCAAAACCATGTATAGAAAAACCTATAACAATATAATTTATTAATGTACAAAAATGTGTTTAAATTTGAGGAAATATATTTAAATAAATTATAGCGCATAGACATTCTTACTGCGCATGCGTTAACTAGTACGCATGTGCATTACGTATTTCTATTCGAAAAAATATATAACTTTCTTTCGTACTGAATATTTTAATTTTAACAAACAGAAGTAGGTTTATAGTAACTTTTTAGGACTTTAAAACAATCTTATCTGTTCAACTTCATGTTATTTATTCAATTTGAAACAATCTTATTTAATTTAACTTAAAATCCTAATTTCTGAGAAATTCAATTTTCAGAGTTGAAAACTAAGTTTACAAAGCTTTCTCAAATTTAGAAAAACCAAGTTTGAATTTTTGAAAAACGATTCACAGATTGTTAATTAATACATACAAATTTCGAATATTTATAAATACAATTTTAATGTTTCGTTAGTGTATAAAATTCTTTTTCACGAAATTTGAGTTTCTCAAAAACAAAACTTGATGGGGAGAGACAATTCGTAATTCGATAATAGTTGCATGAGAACTTTAAATATTTTCTACAAATATAGTATTAGTGTTTTTAGTGTAAAAAATTCTTTTTCATCAAACTTGAATTTTTACAACAAAACTCGATGAAAAGAAACAATTCGTAGTTTAATGCTCATCTCATAAAAATTTGGAAGAATATCTATCGCAAACACAATATTAGCGTATAATCCATGTGCAAAATTCAGTTTCAAATCCTAATTTCTTTAAAATAAAGTTTAACATAAGTATGATTTACAGTTCTATAATTTAGCTATTCATCCACGATAATTCGACAGGATACTTATTACAAACACAGTGTTTCCTTAAATTCCGTTTCATTCAACCCTTTCTCCAACAAAACAAAAAGTTTGCCGAACAAACGAAACAAAATTTGAACGAAAGAACGATATACATTTGGATCGGTATCTCAAGTTGACTCGCTATCGCACAGTGTCGGTGTTTTTTAGCGTGCATGTTCGTAGGGGTCTGTATGACGGTGATCGCTAGCGGAGGCTGAATTTAGAGGTTAAGAAGTCAGGAAGAAGAGTAGGAGAAGGTGATGGAACACGGGTGTGTCGAAGTATACGTCCTAGTGTGGTTGTGTGCGAGGGGGGGAAGTGACGGGGCGGGGCGGGGCCCCTGCTTCCACCAGATAAAAATAGATATTACGAGTTTACCGCGGCGCCAAGATTGCGGGGTATCGCGACGATTACGTCATCGGTAGTAGCGCGAGTGGTTGGAGCAAGGACGCTTGTCGCGTCGCCCGCCGCC